CGACCATCAAGTGTCTTTAAGGGAGAGCAAGCTAAACGGTGGAGCAGGCTCTTCATAGCAGGCAAGCAGGGAAGGGATCTGCAGGCTGTGCTTCACACCCCAGTAATAAATACAGTGTAAGGAGGAGAAATCTGTCCTAGCAAGCAGCCAGGACTTTGGGAATAGGAGCAGACTGCTATCAGGCTTGTCCAACAGCGATGAGCGGGGATTGGAAGCAAAGGTTATTGGCTGAATCCAACACCCTGCTCTTCTGTGTGAGTTGGAGGGGCACTGGGTGTGAGGAGGTAAGGGAGCTAGCTCGTATACAGCCAGGCATCCTGTCATTGAGGGATTAACCCCACAGTGGTGTTTGAGATGCCAAGGAGGCTGGTCTCTGTGGAGAGTGAGTTACACACACAGCTTCAGGCCCTGTTTCAGTTTTGCAACTTTTATGGATGGATGGTAGTGCTGATTGTGCAATGTGAATATGCTTGCTGTCACCACACTGTGAACTAAAAACGGCTCGGATGGTGAGTTTAACGTTACGTGTCTTTCACCACAATTGGAAATCAGATTCTAAACAGAGGGTTGAAGTGAATGGGGACAGCGAGCTTCCTGTGAGCAAGGAGTACCACTTATTTGCCTTTCTTTGGTCCCTTGAAGAGTCCTTGGTGCACAGTACTCTATTCAGTATACTTAACAGATGTTTCTTAAGCTTAGTAGTGTGTGTGTGTGTGTGTGTGTGTATGTTTGCACACAGAGGTGTGTAGGCCTGCCATAGGCCAGTCTCTAGTGTTCACACTTCGCTTTTGAGACAGGTCTCACAGAGGTCTGGAGCTCACCAGTTTGGCTGTCAGGAAACACTAGTGATCCTCTTGTCTCTGCCTCCCTAGCACTTGGGTTATAAGCACACATCACTAGGGGTGGAATTTTCATTTTGTATGTGGGTTCTGGGGATTGAACCTAGGGCCTCTTCTGGGCACGACAAGTGTTTTATTAGGTCCCCCTAGTGCTTTGTTTTATAGACGCACAACATTGCACCTGTGCCTGGAAGATTACAGGAAGAGGCATTGCTGCCTGTGACTAATGCCTCGAGAAATTATTTAGAAGGAAGAAAGATTTATTTTGCCTCATAGTTTCAGTCCATGTTTGGCTGACGCATTGCTATGGGCCCGAGGTAAGGCTGGACATCATGGCAGGGCCCATGGTAGAGCAAGGCCTTCATCCTAGCTTGCTTTCTGTGGCCAGGATAAACACCACGACCGAAAGCAAACTGGGGGGAAATGTTTTTTTCTTGGTATACTTAATAGGTCATCATCCAGGGACTCCAAGACATGAGCTCAAAACAGGAACCCAAAGGCAGGAGCTGATGCAGAAGCCATGAAGAAATACTGCCCCATGGCTTGTTTAGTTTTCTTTTTTTCCTTTCTTTTCTTTATTTTTAAAAATTAATTATCTACTTATTCATTTTTTTTTTCAGAACCGGGTTTCTCTGTGTAACCCTGAGTGTCCTGGAATTGGCTCTGAAAGCCCATCTGGCCATAAACTCAAAGATCTGCCTGCCTCTGCTTCCCAAGTGCTAGGACTAAAGGTGTGTGCCGCCACCACCTGGCTCAGGACTACCTGCCCACGGCTAAAACTACCCCCAGTGGCCTGGTTCTTTCCACATCAATCAGCAATAAAGAAAATGCCCCACAGACATTCCCACTGACCAGTCTAATTGGGGCAGTTCCTCAGTTGAGGGTCCTTCTTCCCAGGTGACTCTAGTTTGTGTCAAGTTTGACAAAGACTGGCCACCACAGTTTCTCGCCTCCTGGCAGACAGGGGCAGAAAGAACCATGTCTGGACTATTGAGCCTTCTCCTTTCTTTCCCATCCTTGTTATATCTCTATCCCAACCCTCCGCCTACTGTATGGTGCCACCCACATACAAAACAGACCTGTCTGAGCCGCTTCCCAAAATAGAATGTGTTTTCCTAATCTCCCAGGTAGATCTCAAGCCAATCAAGTTGACAATCAAGACTGATTGTCACACATCCAACAGCACATATGGAGGATAGTTGGTTAAATTAGCGATGTTCAGAAAGGAAGATGGGTTGGGCCTATCTGACAGTGACATCAGCTCTGTTTCAAAAATCCCTTCATTTGGCACCCCGACTCTGGCTCTTTGGAATTGTGCTCAGTGCTCACTCATACGTCAATAAGAGCGTGCAATAACCGTAGTTCAAGCTTGGTGACCTCAGTCACTCGTCCTGCAGTGCCTGCTTGACTTGAAGCTCCCTGCTCCAGTCCCCCTGGCTCTCAGACCATCTGGCTTCGTCTTCTGGATTGTGATATTAACCTTGGGTGTGTCATGTTTTGGTGACCTGTTGGACTCTTCCCTGCATGTTTCTCGATAGAACACAATGGAGGCAGAATGGTGACAGAAATGAGTCCTGACACGTGAGAGCTGATGCCTGGTGTTCAGTCAATTGCAATTAGTAAGTCATTAAGTCAGGCCAGAAGCAGAGATGTAGATCGGCCTCATTGCATCTCACGTCTCACCAGAGACCAGCTGAGAAGCTGTGAGGATTTATGCCCCCCATGTTCAGGGAAGCCCCTATGCATTTTCTTTTAGGAAGAGATGTCCGGGGAAGAAACAACCCCATGCCTCCTCTTCCTTTGCTAAGATGTGCTTCTGTGAAGTATGAATAAGGCAGCCCCCTACCAACAGGTTTGCTTCTGTGGATTTGACCACTGTGGATCAAAAATATTAGAAAATTGAGCCAATACTAAAAATGAACAGAGTTTTCTAGCCTTTGCTCCATGAACAACACAGTATAACATCCCTTTGCACTTACATCTTGCCAAGTACTGCAAATGAGCAAGAGATAATTTTTGAAGCACACAGGAGCATGCACTGTTTTGCAAAAGGAGCTTGGGCATCCCTGAACAATCCACATGGTACCCGTGGGTGGGCTTTATACAGTCTTAAAAAGTACAAGGTACCAATGATCCCTGGCTTTGTTACTTTGGAGCCAGAATACAGGGCTCAACAACAACAACAACAAAAAATATAGACATTGTATAAATGGGACTAGTTGGCGATATCTTAATTTTCTTTTTAATTTAATCTACAAATAATTTACTTTTATATTTTTTACCTAAATTGCATATATATCATAAATATTAAAATGGAGTTGGAAGTATAGATCACATTGTCTGTTTTGACTGGCGATATCAGTTGGTTTGCCTGGATTGTCCTTGGACTCTGTAAATCTTCAATCTGGAGCTTGGGTGTTAATTTAGCTTTATTGTGAAAATATTTCTGTACTCCCAAATACTTTAGATTTGAGGTGGACTTTGGGTATCTGAATACAAGCTTGATTTACGTTTGGTATATCCCTATACACAATCTCAGTATGTATCTCTACGGGACTAATAATGGCTTGCTTAGTAGTTCTCAGAAGAACATCCCAGGGAAACAGCTGTCTTGACCCATTTTCTGTTCCTCTAACAGAATGCCTGTGTCTTAGAAAGGAAAGGTTTATTTCAGTTCATAGTTCTGGATAGTGCAGGGTCAAGTGACAATGTTGGACAAACCTCATGAACTTATATATAGCATAAAACACAAAATTAGCAAGGGCAGAAAGATGAGAAGAGGGGCCGAGTCCCAACAATGGCTGATCCCTACCCATGAGAAAAGCATTCACCTAATCACAATGTGCTCTTACTAGCTAAACCACCTCGCTTTCCAACACAGAGGGATTAAGGCTATTCTTTCCTTAAAAATAATTATTTTACTTCTGTGTGTGTGTGTGTGTGTAGGCACAATAGATCCCTAGAAGTTGAAATGGCAGGTGTAGGCATTGGGATCTGAACTCTGGTCCTCACGATAGAGCAGTAAGCACTCTTAACCACTAAGCCATCTTTCCTAGCACAACTTAAGCTACATTGCCAAACCATGACAACACACCCTTAGGTATCCTCATCAGATCTGTAATGTGATGGATGCTTAAAAGAAATCCCACACTAGCTCAGAATTGAGTATAATAGAGGGCTATTTATTTAGGGGTAGATTTACAGATTACACTCCTCTGCTGGAATGGAGAACAGCATCTGAATCCCGCAGCCAGAAAAAGAGGCCAGAAGCATGCTTTACATTGGCATAGATAGTTTAAGAGGCAATGCCCAAGTGGGCAGGTAACTTAAAGAATACTAGCGGTAGGAAAAAATTCATTTTTTTTCTTTCTTCGCTTGTTTTTGGGTTTGTTTATATATGTATGTGAGGATGTATGTATGTACACATGAATCATAAATGCATATATCCTTTTGTGTGAGTGTTGTGTTGTATGTATGTATGATGTGTATGTGAGTGTATGCATGTTTTGTGTGTAAGTATGGGCACGTGAGGACCACGGTACATATGTGAAGATGAGAAGGCCTTCTCAGGTGTCCTTGCTTCCACCTTGTTTGATCGAGACAGGGTCTCTCATAATTCACCAATTCAAATGCTAGGCTAGAGACCTACAATGTTCTGGGTGGATTCTGTCTCTTCCTCCCATCTCATCGTAGGAGTGCTGGGGTTGTACATGTGTCCTGCCACTTCTGGCTTTACATGGGCTCTGGAGGACTGAACTTAGGTTTTCATACTTGCACAACAAGTGTTTTACCCATAAACTATTCCCCCAGTCTGGGATTATTTGTTTTTAAGGGTCTTGCTATCTGGCCCAGGTTTGCTTTGAACTCACTATTTGCAGAGGCTGGCCTTGAACATGTAGCCACCTTATTTATGTCTCCCAAATGGTAGGATTACAAGCTTGTGTCACCATACCCCGCTTCTGATGGTATCTTCTTCTCCCTCCTCCTTACATTTGTTTTATTTGTGTGTGCATGTGTGTGGAGGTCAGAGGATGAGTCTTAAGAGTCCTTTCTCTCCTCCCACCGTGTAGGTTAAAGGGAATTGAACTCAGATGTCAGGCTGCGGGGAAAGTATGTTTCTTCACTGAACCATCTAACTGGCCCCCTGTATTTCCTATACAGGTTGGGATGGATCAGCTACGGGGAGTTCAGCCTTTTGAGGCCAAGTGAGCCAGGTTTCACCTCCTCCAGGTATGTCTGACATGCAGCTATGGATCTCAACACATTTACAGATGTAGTGTTGCACCACAGTGTGACAAGGATGGATGCCTGTGTAAGGTTCCACAACCTCCCCCAAATAGCCTCGGTAGCCGGGAATCAAGTATTCAAACACACGATGAGACTTTGGGGGATGTTTCACACTCAATACAGAATACTTCAAAATTCTTGTTTATAAACAAGTCCTTCCTATACATCTTGAATTAAGGTTCTCTTGAGACTTTCTAGGTTCTTAAAATCATCTCAGAGATCAAGCCAATGGAAGGTGGGTTAATTATTAGCACCAGTTAAAAAGTTAGTGTTTTAAAATGGAAGGCACTGGATGCCTGAAGAGGTCACATGTTCTTTCAGGGTAGAAGTTAAGGCAGAAGCCAGTGAGATGCTAGAGGTAGCACATCTACAGTACAGATGTCAGGCAACCTCAAAACTGGCCCCCAGACAGCAGCCCTGCTTCCTGGTACCCATGTTCTTGTTGAACAGCTTCCTTTTAGGAGGGATGCTTCCGCTGGGACATGTTTGCAGAAGGTTCAACAGCTACAGTGTTCTACTTCCCTTGCTCAGTTTCCTTTACCTGATGGTAGAAGGCAGCTTTTCTGTCGTGAGCTACTGTATATAGGATCACATGGCAAGGAACAGAAGGAGGCCGCTGGTCAATGCTCTTGAGGAAGCAGGGAACTTGGTCCTACAGCCTAGGAGGAGCTGACTCTTGCCAACTGGCTCATGAGTTAATCCTTCCCAAGTCAAGCCTGCACATGCCTGTGGTCCGTGTTCCTCATTGTGTGTGAGACCTCAAAGCAGAAGAGCCAGGTGAGACACACAGAGAGAAACTAGGAAATAAAAAAATATCTTCCAAGCCACTTAATTTAAGTATAACTTGTCATATAGTGGTAACAAATGAATGGAGCACATCGAGCAGTTGTCTTCCGTTGCCCATCCCAGGCTGAGGGTTTCTGAGTTTGGGGTTTGAAAAGGAGACTCGGATGTGTTGAACACACTGGTGCCTAAGCTGTTACTTCTTTTCCTTTCCTCTTATTAAATCCAATAAATAGCTCTGTGTATCTGTTGGGATTCATTTTTCTTTGTGCTCAGGCTTGTCAGCAGGCCGAAGCCTTATTAGTCTGGTCTGAGAAAGTGAGCTAACGCAAGCGAGTGCCTTTGGAAGCTGTAGGAAGTCCAGCGAGGAAAAGGAAGAAGCCATCTGGCTGCTAATGCCGTGTGCTTTGCATGTGAAATAAGAGTGATCACAGCTCAGATCAGCAATCGGGAGGTGTCATTGATTGCTCTGGGTCTCAGCAGTTCTTGATAATCTAGCCTATTATTTTCACTGTTAGCACCAGGGCCCATCAGGGCTGGGACTGAGTGGTTCCTTCAGTCATCCATTTGAGACGCTGACACCATGGCTTTCTGCATAGATGTATTTGTGACTTAAATGCTCTTGGTTCAATAAAGGAATTACAATGCTTTATTGTCATGGTAGGAAGCCCCGGCAGGCTTTGCCACTGCCGTTTCCAAGAAAGATGAGCACCACCAGGTACAAATCCTTCAATATACAACGATGGCCTACCTGCAAGATGCACTGGTGCCATAGTGGCACAAAGCTTGTGGTAATAATCAATGAATATCAGATGGGATTGAAGGCTTTACTCCATGAAATGGAGCCTGTTTCCAACACTGCTCAGGTGGCCAAGAACCTGAGATTAGCTAGGTCAGGGACCTAGGAGAAAACCAAATCCTACTCCTCTGCTAAAATGACTCTTAATGGCACTCTGCTATACCATAGATCACGGCCTTGCTCAGCCATCATCAGAGAAGCTTCTTCCTACAGGAGACGGGAACTAATACAAAGACCCACAGCGAGACAACTTTCAGAGAGTGAGAGACCCAGGAACACATGGGATGTCTTCATTAAATCCCTCCTCCCGGGGCTTAGAGAACTCTGTAGTTGAGGAGGCAGAAAGATGGTAAGAGCTGGGGAAGGGGGGGATGTAGGACACCAAAGAAACAAGGCCTGCTTCTACCTCTGCTTAAGACATTTTGTATATTAATATGATTTTAGAATATATTTATTATATTGTAATATATATTTCTACCTCTGACCAAGATACTTATATGTTTTTTACATTTTGAGATCATTGTCCTCATTTGTTGCACAGTTGTTTAAAGATTGTTTAATATTCTAATATGAAGTCTTAGACTTTAAGTTATATAGGTATTAAGATTCATAGGTCAATAGTCATCCATGTTTGTTATACTTATAGTTAGACTAATCAGGTTCTTTAGATATATAGAGAGTGTATTCTGCATAAATAGGTAATCTTCAATCACTTCAAAGAGCTGTAGAATATAGCATTTAAATAACTTAGGGTTCTGTGAAGACACAATTGCTCCTGGCAGCACCGATCTATTCCTGAGAGAATGTTGAGCACTGAAGACATTCCACTTGGAGCTTGTTTTCTTCTTGGCAAAACTGGCCGTTGGGCAAGAAACTGCCCATGCATCAACCACTGACAAAATGCAAGATGTTCAGATAGGACAAGCAGGATACAAGAAAAAAGACTGTCAAATCTTGCCAAGACAGGGTAGGATGGTTTTGATAAATTTCCTGCTTCTGAAAATGTTCAGTCAATTACTCTACGCCTTAGCCAAAGTTGATTGCTCCAACGTTGCAAATGAGTCTTTGTAGCCAGTTGTTTCTGTCATTTGTTGCACATTTTGGAATTTGCTTGATTGTACTTCCTGCTTACTCAAGTAATATTATTTCCCTTCTTCGGTCTTCCATGGGGTTGAAGACTAGATAGTTGGAGTTACTTTCCTCTCATGACTTGGTCAAGTTATTTATAATACAAGACTTAAACTCCTTAGGATAGGATAATCATTGAAACGTGTATCACATCTTTTTGCTTGATATCGTTTATGCTGTTGTAATTCTAATTTTTATACCTGATTTGTTCTTATTGTCTATAATTTTGTATTAGACTTAGAACTGTCTTATTTAAACAAAAGGGGGGGGTTGCTATAGGAATTCCTACAGCAAGTAGCCTTTTAGTTACCTGCCCACTTGGGCATGGCCTCTCTATATAAATGTCAACGTACAGCATGCTTCTTTCTGGCTTCTTTTCTGGCTGCCGGATTCGGTTGATGTTTCCCAATCGAGCAGAGGACTGCAATCTGTGAGTCTACCCCTAAGTAAATAACCTTCTATTATACTCAATTCTGATCTAGTCTGGGATTTCTTTTAAGCGTCCTTCTTCATTCTTTGTGTTGGAAGCACTGGCAACACTCTATGTCACAGGGCCCAGAATATTTCCCAATACACCACAAGGGAAATTAATGGCCACATGCTGAATTTTGTAGCACAACTTGATAAGTATTTGCATTTTTATTTAAGACGTATTCAGAAAAGCTCAGTCAGAGGCCATAAAGCACAGAGTTGAGTGTCATGCCTATAGGCTCCTCTAGCATTAAGCTCTTCATAGAGAAAGGTTACATTCATTGGCCTTTCTGCTATATGGGCATTGCCTATGTTTGGCAATACTCAGAAGAGCAGGGAGCTCACTACTCTGATTTACAAAAATAAAACATTTCCTCAATTGTTTTTATGCACAGGAAACTCAGCAGCTATCATTATCCATCATAATTCCAAACAAGATTGACTGTGTGGTAGGTTGGTTATATACATTCAAGATTATTGGAGCCAAGTTGGCCATAGTCTTTTATGGTAGGGGTGCCACAGCAGAGATTGGTGGCTGAAGGTTCTGGGGAGGGCGTTTCCTTGATGTCTAGCATCCCCTGATATTCTCTGCCCCAGTGCCACATGTCTTCACGTGTCTGTGCTTTCTCTATCCTTCAGTCACATAGAATCAATGGGCCACAGTATTCCAGCATGACCTCGCCCTAACCTCACTAATGAAATCTGCAATGACCCCGTTTCTAAATAGTGTCACATGTGGAGATGTTGAGAGTTAGGAATTTCATCATATCTTTTGTGGGGAAGGGATGGACTCCGTTCAACCATTAAAACTCACTGGATCTGTTTTTTTCTGGTTTAGAAACTGAACTCAGCCTTGGCTAAATGCCTAAGAAGAAAACATCTTCAAGTACTGTTTGGGACAAAGGAGCTGTAAGCCTGGCCCCTAATCTCCAGACAGCCAGAAGTGTTAGAGAAGGTTCCACAAAAGGATACAGCATCATTGATAAAATGATCACTCACTGAGTGGGGAGGCTGTGGCTTGGTGTGAGTTATGGCTTAGTTCTGAGTTTTTAGCTTCCCTATGGTGAGTTTGAGATGCAATACTGCTCTCTATATCAGCCTTTTCAAACGCTCACAACACTGTCTTGTTTTATTCCTGTGTATCTACAGCCGCTCAGCTCATCTTATTAAACTTTACTTTTGGTTGCTTTAGTTGATAAACATGAAATCAATTCTGCATGCTTTTGCCAGCCACACATATTCAGTATTGGTATTCCCAGGCATCTTCTGAGAGGGAATGTGTCCTTCCCCAGAGAAACGACTGGAATTTAGGTGGTGTGAGCTCAGAGGGCTTGTTTTAAGAAACACTCACACGTCTTTTTTTCCACACCTAACAGACCATTCCATAGCACATCTGAGGGCAAGTGCTCCTCCGTGAGTTCAGTTAAGGCATCAGCTCTGAGACAAATGGCCGGGGCGAGAGGAGAGAGGAACACACCTTAGTCATCACAAATGAGCATCCAGACCACTTCCGGAGGTGCTGCATCTACATCTGGACTGCCTGAGTTCTTTGACAGGCAGTTTCATGACGTGATTCCTTGTCTTTAGGTGCAGTGGAAAGATGATCCCAGATGGGGAATCTCAGAAGCTTAATACTAGAAATACCAACAGCCCCACCTTTCTTATCTCTGAAACAAACGAGAACCAGCACTCTCTGCCGAAAGCCAATGTCTATAGTTGGAGCATGGTGTCTGTGGTCTGTGGCCATTATGGATGAGGGGGA